TTGCGTTCAGTTCGTTTTGCATTACTCAATGTTAACCCATTGAGCAGTGCAAATGAGATGGATGGATGCATTAATACGCACTCACTAACGCACTGCTATATGCTATCAAGCAAAGCAGTTTTGTTTCCTTCTAGTCGACACATTTGAATGTCGCGCTTTTGTCTTGCAGAGATATGGCGCTAAATTTCAAACATTTTAAGAGCATTTCACAAAATAATTAAGGAAATTGCATATTTTGTATGATAATTTTTTGGTCAAGTTTATCAGAATTATTTCAACTGTTGCCTGCCATCTTCATCAATTGATTCTTCATCAATTGTTTGCAGGCTGATTGTAAGATGCCAACCATCAAAAGGTCTGACTTCGTTGCAAACGAACTTCCACGGCTATACGTGAGTGCCAGATCATCTTCCCGTCTTTAGGAATTTCCATGTTCTGTCAAAAATGCTTACTTTAATTGGAGAACCCCTTATCACTAGCGATTTGCGAAGGTCTTGTCATAGATTCAGATGAACAAATATCGAGTACGACTGCTGGAGACATCAACGGTACCGATAATTGGTGAAATGGCACTGTTCAAAGAAAAAGAATTAATTGTGATCGATCTTCCACCGAACGCAAAACAACAATCCAAACAGGTCACTGTTCATTTTGACTTATATTTTCTTAAAGCATGAAAATTATGTTGTGGATAATTTTTGAGTCCAGTTATCTACTCAGTTATGACGACGTTCACATTTTCATGTGATTCAGCTATGCACTCCTCCAGTTGATGGATTCAAACTTGCTGAGGTTTTGTAGACTTGTCTTGTGCAATCAGTCAGTTATACCTCAGTAACATTCTTTCGAATCGCGAATGGAACAAAAATGTTTAAGTTCGGTCGCTCTTCATGAGGTCTTCATGAGAACTGCTCATCAGAAGTAAAAATATCAGCAATGCATTCAGGAGAGCGAAAATGAGGCGAGTGCTTATGGAAATTCGAGTACGATAACAGATAGCTCTGATCAAGCTGGCTCACCACTCAAGTTCAGTTTCATTACACTCGAAAAACTGCGGGTATGAACTTATTCGTTCAGTTCTATCACTTCTGTTTCATAGACTATTGCCTCAAAATTACCTGAGCTCAAGTTACCAATTAAAAGCTGAGAATCTTGTTGAAATTTCGAAATCTGATGCTTCAGTTGATTATTTTTTGTTCACCAGTCACTGAGCATCTTATTCAGTGTCATTTCTCAATGGATTGTAAGCATTTTTCTAATCTTTATGGACTTGCAATCGTTGAATGCTTGGAATTTGAAAAGATCAAGCTTTTATTTTCAGCAAAACGATACGAGATATGATACAGTAAATTTTGGTGAGTTTGATTTGAATGAGACTGCATTTGATTGTAATCCGTTGCGATCTGTAGACGGTCGTCGACTCGTGAATAGGTTTTACAATTGCACTCTCTATTTTACTCTTTCGATTATTTTTACATTCATTCAAGTATTTCCTTCCATTCATTTGCATGCAGCATACATTACTTAGCAATCGTTGTTAACATATATTAACACAAGTGGTAAGCCTCGTGACTAGTATTTGGTTCAGTTTGACGGTTGATGAATGGCCGTTAGATGCAGAATCGTTTGGAAATGTGACCGTGTGGATCGTGTTGAATGCATCGGACGCAATGAAAACCGCGTTTCTTGGTGTGAATCGATCTCACAATCTTATTATTACACATAACGTTCGTTGTTTTGGTATGCGATTGGTTATTGTGCCTTCATTTTATTCGTTTACTCATCTCTTATTATATTCTCGATTATGACATTAGTAACAGTTTTCGATTATGCACTGATGAATGAATTAGTATGAGCAGCATTCTGACTAGATTTGAAGAGTGAGTGGTTCGTAAGAGAGTTTCTGAAAGTTTCAGTAGAGAATTTTATTTGAGTTGTATTTCAGCGAAAGGCGATCCAACGCTCGAAAATTACATACAGCCAAAGTTCAGATTCCTTGATCAGTTTCAGGTTAGCCATTAATGCTCTGTTCCATCACCGTTACGAATGCTATCTTCAGTTTTTTTCTTTTCTTTTTTTTGAATCTTCCATCCAGCAGTTCTCAACAGTGATTCGAATCAAATCAGCAACATTCATTCAGAGAGAATTCTGCAAAGCATCTGACGAAACAAAACAAACCATATCTAGTTATGCGACTGATGCATTGTCTCAGGTATCGAATTCGGCGTATTGTTCATACGATCTTATCCCAGCCGAGGGAAACGCAAATACGGATGCGGTCACAAGAATCACCGCCAACGTTCAACTGTTAGCTAATTGGCGTTCTAAGAGTGACGACGATTCATTGCTGGTGCAACCGCCGTATTCAGCATCTGTTTCTTTGGTATTTAATCGATTCTTTGGTTTCGATTCATCTCATTGTTCCTACATCGATTCTTCATTGTTTCAATGAGTTGCTTACAATGGCTTGTAGCATGCTTATGTGATCGTAAATATACACTGTAAAAACTTATTGTTAATGATAAGTGGTGCACATTTAAGAGCGTTAGTGCCGGATGGTTAGACAAACGAATGCCCTACAGTGAATGGTCACAAGAGCTGTGTATTTTGTTGGCACTGGGGAATGCGCTCCGAACTGGCACAATGAAATGGCAACCGATCGATGCGAGTGTGACCACTGAGAAATTGAAACACTCATTGAAAGCGCTTCTTGAAGGTGAGGTGATAGAAGTTGATTGGCTCTTGTGTTCTATCGAATTTTTTAAGTTTTGTCGTGGATCGGTTTTTTGTTATTTTTCTTTTTTTTTTGCGATATCATTCATCTAGCGGGAGTTTCTGCTAGAGATACTGAGCTGTAAGTGAGAAAGCGAGAAATATANTCGATATTGAAAATTGAACTGAATCGGGTAATTGTTATTTACATTCAATTAATGCAAGTGGTGGTTCTAAAGTGGAGGTTTTTAAATTCTCGTTGATGGTTTTAGAATGGAGCAATACGGTCAACTATGAAGTGATATTGTTTTAGATGCATTCGAATAATAAGAGTACAATAGCACGTCTGATGAAGGATGCTTGTGCAGGAGACTTGAAGCTGCCACGATTGGAGGGTCTGACCCCGCTGGAGATTCTTCTTGAGGCTGGACTGGAATACTTTCAACGAAGCTGTATTCACCAATTGATCGCAAATGGTATTCTGCAAGACAAGTTCATTTTTTTGTTGTTAGGCAATAAAGCAGTTGAATTGATGATAAGGATGAATGATTTGTATTTTTTGTTTTTCGAAAAATGGTTTAGAATTTTAGGATTTGTGGTGAGTGCAAATGAATTAGAAACACTGTATAGGATCAGTGCGAATCTATCGAGTGAGGATCGTGTCGACCGAGTGTTCATTCTATTCCAAGCACTCGTTGTGATGTGCTGCTGTAAGCAATATCTTAATCTGCATCATCAACAGAGAAACCTTCTGGCCAGGTAGTTACACTTACAATTAGATAAGCATCGTATCCGATTTCATCGCGAAGTTCTTTCATTTTGTAACGAATGTAATGTTATGTGCATTGATTGCTATGTCAAAATGACATTCTCATCAGAGAGCAGAAATGAAGTGTGATTTTTTT